AGACTCATGGACTCACACACTCAACACCCGTTCCACTTACTGTGTGTAACCTCAGAAAATAAACAAGAGGGGACTGGTGGTGCTTGTCTGTGATATCAACTATGATGGAGGTAGTGGTAGGAGGACTACAAGTTTGATTCCAGGCTGGGCAACTCTGTAAGACCCTGTCTCAAAGTGAAAATGTCTGGGGATGTAGCTCAGTGGTACAGTGCTCCTGGATGTGATCCCAGAGCTGAAATTTAATTTTAAAAATCTATATACAGGTGCTAATAATAAAAATCAACATTTTGTTAAACCAAAGAGATCATACATTGTAAAACAACATAGTGGCCCACTTTTTGCTTTAAAAAATTTTTTTTACACTAGTCTACGAAGGGACAAAGTTGTGAAGGCTGTGCCAGTTGCGGGGGGGACTTGGGTGATGATTTCTTGGTACATATTGACAGCTCCTTCCACCCTAGATGGAGGGAGGCCAGGAAAGGGACACAGCTGGGGTCTCTGTACTCAGCTGGATGCCCTCCACCCCTAAATCCTTATGAGTGCCGGTTCCCACTCCTGCTGTACTTACCAGATGGGCTGACCTCTGTGATATCTCCATGCCATGGGATATGATGGCCAGGCCACCACCACTCCTCCCATAGAAGGCCCTTCCCAAATGCCACCCCTCCATCTGGGACTTCCTAGTAGGTCTCTGGCAGGTGGGACTTCTGCATCAGCACTTCCTCTCCTGTCCTCCAGGCAGGGTCTTGGGGCCTTCAACGTTCTTCTGTCCTGCACTCTATCTGTGCCACTGCAGATGCTCAAGGCATGGATCCTTTCAGTCCCCAAGACCGGAGACCGGTGGCAGGGAACAGGCCCACCATGATGCCCTGCCCCTGCTCTTAGACCCCCTCTTCCCTTGCCCTGGAACACAGGCAGACCCTAGCCCCCCGGGCCTTACCCCAACTTGGCACCCTTGCCACCATCTGCCTGTGCACCTGGTGCTCCTGGCCAGAGGAACTGTTAAAGAAACACACCCGTTCAGGGTTTGAATCCTACTAGCCTTGTGACCTGTCCCCTTTTATATCCTCTGCTACCAACTGGCTGTGGCAGTGAGAACCTTCTCAGAAGGCTGCCAGAAGACCCAGATGATGTATTCTACCCAAAGAAGACCTACGGAGTCCACTTCCAGTCCCCAGGACCCTGCATGTATCAGGGGCCACCTACTGTCCTCGTATGGCTTAGGTACTCAAGCCTCAACCAGAGGCTTATCAGCCTGAACTAGACCTTATTCCCTCAAATGCTTTCCCTAGGGGCAGCCAGTGGTTTGCTGGCAGAGCTGGCTCCCTATTGTGGGCTCCAGGTTTGAAGCCTGGAGAGCCTGAGGGCATCAGTGAGCCCATTCTGTGCCCACCCCCACTTGCAGCCCTGATCATAGTCTACCTCACACACTAGACCCACCAGGCTCTCGGAGGGCTGATAGCCCCAGCAAAGTGACAGTGACAGACACCCACACGGTCACCTTAGAGGGAAAGGTTTATTATGACTCAACCACACAGTTAACAGAAACAGAGGCAGGAAGGCTCTGGCCTCAGCACTGGTCCTTCTGTGCAGGAGGAAGTCAGTGTGACACACACCGAACTGGGCGTAAGACATAGTGATGCAACAGTACAGCATGCACCAGATGCTTATGTGGCAAAGGATGGGATAAAACTCAAGGCTGGGCAGAGACAGGATGCTGCTATTGCTCACCTAATAAAAAAAGTCATGTGCAATATTACTCTTTATAATCCCTTTTTCTCATAAAACATCATGTGTTTAACACACACCTGAATCATTGCTAAAATCAGCAAGAGCTATCACTATAGTGCTCCAACTTAATAAGTTGATAGAGTTGTCTTGTGGCCAGTTCGCAATGGAACTACATAGTTTTGTTCTGAGGTGCCTGGGGTGTTTCTCTGGTGTCAAGGCATTTCTAACAAAAAGATCATCCTGCTACCCAGAGGCAGTCTCAGCCCACGGCATACAACATGGTGCCCCAGTTAGCTCTCTGGGAGGTCCGAGGATGGACTGGTCAAGGGGATGTGGGGGATCCAGCCTAGATGGTGATGCGGACTTCACATGAGATGACAAGAGGTATGCAGGCTGGATCCAATACAGTATGGGTGCAAGGGCCAGTTCGACTTGGTCTGAGCTGACACCACACACAGGTGGTACTGGGCAGAGTTCCCAGGCACTCGGAGCCTGCACTGGCTTGACTGGCAGCAGACCTCAGAAGCATTGCATGTTGACTGACAGGCGAAGACACATGAGCCTGTTTCCAGTGGCAGCTGTCAGAGGAGCCCTGGGCAGCCAGCCTGCACGTTCACGGTTTGGGTAGCTGAAGATGGAGAGACTTAGGCAGAAGCAAAGCAGCCTGGTGTATTCTTCTTGAGGTTGGTCAGTGTTCCGTGTCCACAGCCACACTTAGCAGATCTCACAATGGCGTCTATGGTAGGTGTCCAGGTGCCTCCATTGCTGGTGCTGCTATTCAAACCACAGGGAGTATTTTTCAAACATGCTACTGAACACTGCAGGCTGTAGAAGCTGGCACCATCCCAGGGCTGGGAGAGCAAAGTGTTGCCCTTCACAGGAGTCCAGCCACCCCTGGTTGCCATAAAGAGGCCCAATGCTGGGTTCCTGAGCTGTCCAAGACCTACCTCTCCCACTCAGTGCTATTCAAAAACACCCTGAGCACTGCTGGAAACCACTGATCATTTGCAGAGGGCTCCACTGTCCTGCCTCCCCTAGGGCACATAACTAGACACAGTGTTCCTCCCAGGCCCGGGCCTCACAGGGATAGAGGCTTACAAGGCTGGGGTCTAAAGCAGCAGACATGTCAGCTCACTTCAGATGCTGGTGCTGAGAACCTGCTTTACACCGAGAAAGAGGGAACACCCCCTGCCAGCCCAAGAGCCAACCAAGGGAACTAGTGAGAGACTAGCTGGGGTGGCCCACAGCCCCCTCCACCCCTTCCTACCAGCTTACATTCCTGCACAGGGACACTTCTGCCATGTGTTAAGGGGTACCTCTATAAAACAATTTTACTTGACTTTTTGGTGTGTGGAACCAGGGATCGAACTCAGGACCTTGTGCTTGCCAGGCAGACACAGTGCCACTGAGCTATATCCTTGCCTTAGTTGGCTTTTACAGGGCACAAAAATGCCAATCTGACCAGCATCACCCTACCCTAGTAGTTAAGTTTATGTGCATTATACAGTATCCAACCAGCTGAAACCCTACAGATACATACCATTAAATGCTCAAAGGACCCCATCCTGGAACCCTGCAAACTAGCCCCTGAAGGTACTACATGGCCAACTCCAGGATGTGTCCTCAATGCTGGCTGTGAGTAGGCATTGCTTGGCCCTGCCAGTCCCAGAGGCCCAGGCTACCTAACAGTGCTTTTCAGGTAACAGCTATAGATGGGCTCTCAGTAAGCCCACCAACCTTGGGGCTGCATTTGAGGCACAATAATCGAAAACCACCAACACCTGAGCCACTTTGACCAAGGCGAACTGCAGGCATGATCCCTGCTTCTTGGCTTAAGACACAAGGTGATGACACTAACAATTTCAAATGACTACAAACTTGAACAATCTCATTGCAAAGGAAAGGTTGAGGCAAAGGCTTTGGCTACTAGGTCCTCACATACCCAGGTGTGATTCACACCCAGAGCTCTGGGTCACCTTTGTCTGCCTCCCAGAACTTAAATCCATCATCAGCTCTAGGACCTAAGCCCAAGGGCCTGCATACTAGCCAGACCTACATGGGAATACAGACTCCGGTTATAGGTATCTGGAGAACTCAACTCATAGCTTTACAACTCTAGCATGTGTGAAGCCACTTCTATCACTGAGGAGCAAACAGCAGCCATGCCCTTTGCTGTCTTGTTTTCAGCAAGTTAATAGTCTAACAGGCTTGCGACAAGGCTTGTGGTGTGAACACAAGATCAAGGTCAAGTCAAGACTGAGACCTCAAGGGCTAATGCACTGCAGCCAGTGTTCTCAAGCCCCTTCCTCCAGAAAGGTATTCTTGGCCATGACTGAACATCCTGCACATGCAGCTGTTAGGGGACCACTGCAGTATCTATGGTTCATTGGGACACAGAGTGGGACACAGTGCAGCACATGGCCCTCCCGGTTGCTCCTGTTTGCTTGGTGAAGACCTTGATTGGTTGGGGCCAGTCCCAGCCCAACCTGTATTCTCAGGACTATCTGCTCTCTAGTTGCCAGGTGGAGAAGCAGAATCCACAGCTGTAAGCAGATTACAACCCAGGTAAAGGGAGGAGGAGATACAATCTCAAGCTACTAAGAATCAAGTTGCATAGAATGACTTGTCAAACCCAGACCTGCCTATCACCCCGAAGAAAGGTCAGATCATCCAGCCAATGGGCACTCCGCTGGTGGTGGAAGGGCTCCCATCATGCCAGCTGTGTGTTCAGACTTTCCCTATCCAAGCACAAGACTCTCCAGGCCACTCCAAGTGCCAGCACATAGAGAAAGTATTAAGGTCCTGAAGCCAGGCCTCGGAAAGACTGGGCTTCTGAGGAAGGTCCCAGGCTGTAGGAACACTCCTTGTGGACAGGCACTGGACTGCTCCTCCAACAAAACACACACAACCTACAAAGCACCATCAGTGACAGGAGACACAGCAAGACCAGAAGTCTGCTGAGGACACTGAAAAGCCATTACTTTAAGTACACAGAAAATTCAAGTAATTTATTTAAAAACTGCTTAGTTTCATCTTGAAAGGTCCCAGGCTGTAGGAACACTCCTTGTGGACAGGCACTGGACTGCTCCTCCAACAAAACACACACAACCTACAAAGCACCATCAGTGACAGGAGACACAGCAAGACCAGAAGTCTGCTGAGGACACTGAAAAGCCATTACTTTAAGTACACAGAAAATTCAAGTAATTTATTTAAAAACTGCTTAGTTTCATCTTGAAAAAAAGCATGACTCTCATGCATTTTAAAGTACTTTATTTAAAAAACATGGACTTGAGGCAGCAATTATGATAAGACTTGACTCCATCTGTGTGATGTGCAGAGCTTCTTCCTCCTGATCTCAGAAAGCTTAGACTGACCATTTCACATAAGAAGAGCAGAGACTGCCTAGTTTCAAATAAAGAGATTGTGGTTTGAAAAACATTTTCAAACAGCTGCAGCATTTGATGAGTTTGCTTGGGTGTGGAACCAGAACACCACTGGTCAGGGCCTTCCTTTCCCAGATGCTTGCTTCTCTCTGTGTTGGTTCTAATCCCAGTGGTGAGTGAGTGAGCAGGCAAGAAAGTCGCTGAGTTCAGACAGGTTCCAGCAAGCACATCTGGCCACAGCAGTGAGGGATGCCTGAGCCTCCATGTCCTGCTTGGAGGCTGCTGTCCACCACGCTCGAGGTAGCCTTGCAGCGGGACTGGAACTCTGTGCGGATCTCCAGCATAGGCTTAGATGAGACAAAGTGCGGTGAGGAGCCTGGGGACTGGGCTGAGGAGCTCCAGGCATGGATGACCGGGCAGGGTCTGGACGCAGACATGCTCACACAGGTAGGTGATCCAGCAGCACTGGATTTGAGAGTTCAGGTTGTCCAGGAACTGGTGTACGTCATGCCCTTGGCCTTCCTGCCCACAGCCACCTCAGGGCCCTCCCCAGCTTTGGTGTGTGGCTGTGCCTGCGCACAATGCCACTGGGCATGACGTGTCAAACTCTCTGAGGGAAAGGAGATGCTGTTCTTCTAAGAAAACCACAGTAGTTAAAAAAAAAAAAGGAAAAAAAACTTTGTCTAAAATAATCATAAAGAAAAATACTCTCCAACAGCGGCAGCACCAACAGAACATGACAAGATCTGAGGGGCATCCATGAACCTGTGGGTGGCCAGAGGGATACCTGGGAAGGGTGTTCTCCTCACTGACTACACTGCTCTTGTCTGGAGTGCCCAGACTACATATACCCAGGACATCAGAGGTTTTGCATTTTCATTATAATTTCAGAAATGCAAAAATCCCATTTTTTCTAAATTACTTGACTATATTGTAAATGTTTTAAAATGTAAAAACATGCAGAATAATATACCTGCAGAATAAGACAGTTGAAATTAAAAGATTTTTCAATTAAAAAAAGATTTCAAATGATTTTTTTTAATTGTGGAAAAAGTAATTAGTGTGATAATTTTGCCTAATAGCTCAAACCTACCCTACAACTACTGAACTTCAAGGGTTCGGAGAAGAAGCACTGGCTGATCTGCTGCCCCCACAACCACCAGCAATGCCAGTGGCCGGCAGCCTCCCCTCCCGTCTCCACTGTGGAATGTGTCAGCTGGAGCTCAGACCATGGACTCGGTCTCCACTGGGCCCTGCAGACCCTCCTTCCGAGAGAGCTTCAGGACTGTGGGCTTGTCACTGCCTTCACCGTCACCAGCAGGCTGAACAGACAGGCCTTTCTGCTCTTCCTTGGCTTCCTCCGATACCTCAGGATAGATCACCAGGAATGTGGCTGTCAGGAAACCCAAGAAAGAGCCCACAGAGGCCACCATGGGGATGACACGAACAGTCCCCACAATATCAACCACACCCCCGAGGGCAGACGCCACCAGAATCTGGGAGATGTAGACCTGGCAGGAGAGGATGGCGCAGTCGATGCCAAACCCACGCTTGGAATTCCCAGGGCTGTGGTGGACGTACTGCAAGAGAAGGGAACACGTGTGAGGGGCCGTGCAGTTGAGATTCAGTGCCCCACATGTCAGTGGTACGAGCACTGACTTGAGAGTTGACAGGCAAGGCCCGCTTCCTCTCAGCTTCTAAGCAGCCACTTCCACTGAATCTCCCGACCCCAGCTCCTACACTGCCAACTTTGCAGGTGGGAGAGGCAGAAAGTCCCAGCTCTTGGGAGGGGAGGAAAATGGAAGCAACTTCACCAATGCCATCAGGACACACGCTCTCTGGGACCCACCTCCAGCCTAAGGAAGGGTGGCAGGGGAGAGTTTAGGTGAGGTGACTCTCCTTACCCTGGGGGGTTCTCTAGTGGGGGCCAGGGTGCAGGGGAGCTATGAGCCTGTGTCACCCCATATGTGGCTCAGCACATGGTCAAGCAGACTGGACCAGTGCAAACAGAGGGGCAGCTTCATCTGTTTCTCAAACAAGACAGGAAAGGACACTGGTACGCCTGCAATGTTGTGCTCATACCAAGTCTCCAAAGGAAACTATCCTGGAGATAATGAAAAACCAGTCCACAAAGAAGAAACAAGCTAATTCTAGATATACGTGTGTATACATCTTGGTACGTACCACAACTACAGTGGAAAAAGATTTTAATAAACTTTTCATAAAATGAGCAGACACAAAAATAGTAAAAGATAAGAGGAGTGAACAAACTCAATCTAAGTGAGATAGGGCACAACGTGTAGAATACACTTTCTCTTCAACTACATACTGAACATTTATCAACACCTGCAAATACCTTGGGCCACAGGGGACTCCTAACTACTTTTAAGGGCCGAGATCATAGAAGAATATGTTCTCTGACAGCGAAGAATGAGAAATCAATAAAAACACAACTATGGAAAATTCTCCCAAATGTCAGAAATTCATCACATACTTCTAAATAATGGTTCAAAACAGAAATCATGACAAAAATGAGAAAACTCAAGTGACTGAGCATGCAACATATTAAAACCTGCAAAATGCAGCTAAAGGTGTTTGTAAAGGGAAATTAGTAGCTTCAAAGGCTAATATGTGGCTGAAAATCAAATTAAAAAATTAGAAAACAGCAAATTAAAACAAGATATAATAGAAGGGACAGTAAAGAACAGCAACCAATAAAATGCAAAGCAAACAAGAGGAATGAATAAACCAAAGGCTCTCTGATAGCACAAAATCAATGAATTCTCAAATAACTAATATCAATGAAAAAGATGGTATCAGTATAGGTGTTATTACAGCATAAGGAAATATAAGCAATTTAATGGCAATAATTTACAAAGTTTAAAAAATTAATAAAAAATAACTTGCCAAGTTCAGAGGAAGTGGACAAATTCTCAGAAAACTCCAACTTATAGCACTGTGCTTCCCTGAAAGACAGTAAGGACCTCCCACTGGAGTGTGAAAGAGCAAACTCATCACCACCACTTTTATTCAACACCATGGCAAAGGGTCTAGTCATTGCAAGAAGGCGAGGATAAGAAAGAAAATGTATCAAAGATTAGGGAGGAAGAACTAAAGCTATTCACAGGTGACATGGCTGCATGTCCACAAGCACCGACAGCTCTGAGAATTCATAAAAGATTCAAGGTCATATTTGTGGATGGAAAGGCTCACCATGCAAAGTTATTAACTCTCCCCAAACTGATCTACATATAAAGTCAATGTATTTTCAATAAAGGAAAGCCAGAAGGAGTCTAATATTCAGGTAAAAAAATAAACAGATGAGTAGCCAGGACAATCTTGCTCTCAGGGAAGAACGTACACTATAGGGTCTGAGGACTTATTACAGAATTACCTTAGTCAGGACAGTGGGACATTTATCCAAGAGGAGAAAGACCAAAGGGCCAGAAGCACCCGCACACACTTACACTGATGTGTAGTTTATGATACAGATGGTCCTGTAGGGTGGAAGGACCCGGGGCAGGTGAGTGCCCATCTTCAGGAGCGAGTAAAAGAACCCTGATCTGCTACTTTAAGCCACACATATTGTCTGTCCAGGCAGAGGTAGCAGAGCACAAAGCACCCTGAAGGCTGAGGAATGCGTGTGGCTACATGTCTGAAAGAGCCTGAACTAAAGAACCAACCCCTCAAAGAAGGATGATCAAGAACCCATAGGCACATGGGGCAAATGGTCAGGAAGCCAGGGACGTACTTAGCATGCAACCAGGAGCCCAGGCACACCAGGGATATGGTCAGGAATGCATGGGCACACCGGGGATGTGATCCAGAGCCCAGGCACACTGGGGATGCAGTCAGGAACCCAGGCACATCAGGAGTGTGAAAATGCACAAAACGCTGGTGGCGATGAGTCACACAGGATGAGGAGACATAAAAGAAGCCAGACATAGAAAGTGCAGTCATAGAAAGTTCAGAAATATATGGCGTTAGAAGTTGGGGCAGTGGTTACCTTTAGGCTGACAGAAGTCAGATGCAGGGGCTCTGGCAATGGTCTTCCTATCTGGATTGGTTATACAACTGCGTTCTCCCTTCCCAAGAGCCATGAAGCAGTTTACTTATGATTCAGTTAGTGGTCTGCTATGTTTTAACTTAAAAGTTCATTTAACCACTTAATAGTTTACCCTGAGCATCAGTCAGGCAGTGTTTATGTACTAACCTGAGTGCTACTTGGGCAGGTGCAATTTCAACCACCTTGTACTGAATACATTTGATAAAATTGTCATTTTTATATTTCTGGTTATATTATTTTATAAAAATCATGAAAAAATATGCAATTTTTGGTTATCCCGTATTTAAATAATTGGACTGCCAAGTGATTAAAAAAATGATGCCATCAGACTTTCAGTTCTACTATTTTTGGTGTGCTGCTTCTTCTTCTTCTTTTTTTTTGGTACTGGGGATTGAATGCAGGACCTTGCACTTGCAAGGCAGGCACAGTGACACTGAGTTAAATCCCTGGCCCTGGTGTGCTTCTAATCAATAAATTTATTTGCTTAGTGACTGCATCAGAGATTAGGAGTGAAGAGAGTGTAGGGTTAGGAATAAGACATGCATTTCTCTCCTCTCCCTGAAGTCCTACAGGTTATGCTGGAGAGACTTGGTCTACACCTACACCTGGGTTGCAGAGCATCAGAGATGAGCCTCTTGCCCAGTGGTGACCCAGTGACCACACTAGCCTCCAGAAGTCTCTCAGCTGACCAGGACAGCCGGAGGAGACTTGTGACCAGGGATTGACCAAGGCAACTGGCAGTTCTTGGCTTCATCAGAATGGAAGATGGAGGGGATGATCTGTGTCTGGGACACTATACAGGGAGAAGGTGCATAGCTCACGTGGAGGACAGAGCAGTGTACTGAGCCCAGGCTCTGGACCAGACAGGCTGTGGACCCAGCCTGAGGCCACTTCATTGCCACCCTACCTGGGCACTCCAAGGCCACACATACCTCCTTGATGTCATGGTAGTGCCCTAGCAGGGCATAGGGGCAGTAGGAGATGCTCATGGACACGATGCCCATGGTGCTGATGGTGACCATGGCCACATAGACATTGGGGAACATAGCCATCACAGCTGTGCCCACAGAGAAGCCCAGTGTCCCCAACACATAGATCACTCTGATGCTCAGGTCATAGTTGTCTAGGTACTTCTGTAGCAGGGCTGCAAAGAGAAGCCACAGGAATAGTGATCAAGCTGCCCACTCAAGGGGGCCCCCTCCCCACCCCTCCTCTCCCAGCAGTGCCTCCCTGTGACCAAACCTAGGCCACCATGTGCAAGCAACATCTCCTCTCTCACCTGACCTGTCGCTACACACTCTCCAAGAATACCTCCATTAGAGTGGTGACAACAATGCGGTCACTCTGGTGTTGGCACCTGGCTGATCAGGATATTTATACCAGCAATTTCCAAGTCCTCACGAGGATAACCCTAAGCTGACCTCCACCCCTTGGTTCAGGCAGTGTGTGGGCAGGTAGTAAATCCCAACCATGACTTGCTCCAGTTCCAGTGGTGAGTGCTGGAACTCACCATGAGTGCTGGTCCCAAGACAGGAAGCTGCCTCCTTGACACCCCACTTCAGGATATAGCTGCCCTGAAAGGAGAGGCCCTGTCTAGCAGCTTAGCACAGCTACTCCTGCTCTGACTCCTGAGTTCTGGGCTAGGGTCTGATCTCCTTCCAGCCCTGAGCTGGCAGGGCTGGAACAACATGTCTAACATAGTTGCCGTCAAACTTGGACTGCGCTGCAGGACAGCATGTGGTAGGGCATCCTGAGGGTCTTGTGAAAATACCTGTTCCTGGCAGAAATAAGGGCCCCACTCACAATTCACATTTCCAAGCTCTGAACATTCCCAGCTGCAAACACTTACCTGACCTGGGCACCTCTTACCTGAGCAAATAGCACCGGTAGCAGCATAAATGACCAAGCCCCAGCAGCCCATCTTCACACCGGCATTGTAGGCCTGCCCTTCGGTGGAGTTAGAGGCTGCCTGTTTCAGAAAGAAGTTGGAGTTAGGGACATTGGCAAGCTATTTAACAGTCTTAGCAAACAGAATCACCTCTGAATCCAGGTCCAGAATCTGATAAATCACTTCCAGCCTCTTGTGGCCCCCTCAATAAAAGGTGGACCTCTATACCCAGAAGATGGGCTGGTCTTGACCAGTAGAAGTGACCCTGCCCTCTTGAGCTGACATGGTAGACCTGGCGGGGTGAAGATGGACCCTGAGTGCGTGTAAGGCCATCATGGCCCTCCTGAAGAGATGGCCAACATGGCCACAAGGGGAGCCCAGGTGATGTCATGGGGCCCAAAATAGCCGCCAGCTGAGCCTAAAGGGTAACAGCAGGTTGTCACCTTAACTGCCAAGTTCTAGGCAGTGTAGTTCAGGGCAACAGATGGCTAAAGCAATGCCCAATCAGGCTTCTGAGAGTGCTGCAACCCTCTGACCTGTGACCATATTGGGCTAAGACAACTGTAACATGGAACAAAGACATAGGTCAGCCAGCTGCCTTCCATGTATTCTCCCTGATGTGGTCACATGGGCACAGGGCCAGCAAAGGCCGCCTTGGAAGGACACCCAATGATAAGGCCCTCCTGGCACACCCTCCCAGCCTACAGAGCACTCACCTTGGGGTCCCCCTCAAAGATGACCTGGCCCATGAAGTCGGTGTAGAAGACAGCCTCAGCGATGACAGAGAACCAGGTGAGCAGGTGGCAGAGGCAGAGGCGCATCAGCTCCCTGGGCATCTTCAGCATGGACAACCACAGCAGGCGCACAGTGGTCTCACCCTCACCCTCCTCACTCTCTGTGTCCCCGCTGGAGGTGGTAGCCCCACTCTGGTTCCGGTGCCGGCAGCGTTGCCGTTGACGCTGCTGCAGGTCATAGAGGTCACTCATGCTGCGGGACGGCTTGATCAGGACCACTGCATTGGCCCGACGGTAGCGGTAGCAGTGGGACCCAATCTTGCCATAGTAAGAGAAGGTGCTGGAGGCTTGCCGGCGGAACATGTGCCTGCGCCGCCTCATGGAGCTGGATGTGGCTGAGGGCTTCAGGTCCACCCTGGTGCAGCTGCTGAGGGTGTCTCTCAGCGGGGAGCCACTTCCATTTGGGACTCTAGCTTCATTCAAGTGATTATCAAGCAAGGTATCATGCTCCTTGGTGGTTTCCCTGAGGAAGGTGGACAGGTGGGGCAGCCTGGCCTTCAAGAGCTCTTGGCTGGTGCTGTGGGGGGTGCTGGGATAGGAGGCATCTTGGAAGATGGAGGGCTCGATGTCATACAGGAAGGGCAGCTCGGGTTCCATATCCAGTGTGGCATCTGGCATGTGCAGCACGGAGTCACTCTTGCTGCGCACGATGTCCACATCAAGGTAGTCAAGGGCTAGCTCGTGCTCCGACTGTACCTCATCAGGGAATGGAGGGCTGCTGTTCTGCATGCCCCCACTAAGGGCATTTAGGCGGGTGGTGGGGGCCAAGCTGCTGCCAGGCCTAGCACTGGGCAGGGCAGTGGCTTCCTCCGAGTTGCGGTCCTGCTGCGGGCTGTACTGCTCTTCCTCGATGCTGAAGATGTGCAGGACCACCGACACCATAAAGATGATGGCAGCAAAGAAGAAGAGCACCTGATTCTGGGTCCGAAACCAGCTGCCCAGGAAGGTCTGAGTCCAGTCCAGCCCACCCAGCACATAGCCAATGGCACCACCGAGGCCTAGGAGGGGGAGAAGCAGCAGGTGAGCTGTGTGGATGCTGTAGTCCCTGCTCCCAGGCCTAGTGTGGGAGGCCAGTGCCAGGGTGGGCTGGAGGGCTTCACCCTCAGTGGGGTCCTGGGCATGCTCACAGTTATGTTGTGAGTCAGGACACAAGGTCTTGGCACGGGGAATGAGAAAAGGGTAGGAAAAATAAAACAAGAAGCCCTGTTAGCCCCAGGTCTGAGAATTCTGGCCTTATGAAATTCCTGCTTAATAAATTAAGAGCAAATTAATCCCAGGAGTGGACACAAACCGCCCCCATACATGCCTATCTGTACTGAATGCCACTTCCTAAGCATGGCTAAAGATAGTGGTCAGTTCAGGGCCCCAGCCATGTCTACCCAGCAAGCATGTCACCCCAGCAGGCCTGACTTCACTCTCCCTCATCCCTGCTTACTTCAGTGGTCAGGAGGATGTCCTTGGTTATTTCCTAAGCCCTGGCCACTACCTCTCTGCCTTCTAGCATCTGAGATGCTAGAGGGACAGCACTGAACCTGGGTGCATAGGTTCCTCCCCTACCCACACTGGGTTTGGGGAGTAGCTGCTGCCAGCCTGCCTTGGCATGGGCACTTTACCAGCAGAGAAGGCATGGATGTTGAGGGCCATGTCTTGCTCCTCACTGTCCACCACGTCCAGCAGATAGGCACGGATCGGGCCCTCGGTAGCATCAGCACTGAAATCCAGGACCACCACTCCCAGTACTGTGAGTACGATGCCAATGGGCTGCCGGTTGGGGACATCACCAAGGGACAGACCTGGACAGAGCACAGACAGTGGTCAAACCTCAGGGCCAGGTGAATTGGGCTTCTCTAGTAAATAGCCTCCCCTCCGTAGAGAGCCAGCTGGGAACAGCACAAGACACTCCACAGGACAGCTGTACTCTGTGGCAGGCAGACTCCTGGGAAAGAGGCTTTCTCTTTCCCTTTTCTGAAGTTTAGAGGGTATTCTTTCTCTTCACCCTCTGGACCTTGACAGCTTTCTTATCCTGTCTATCAAGCAGGAAGGGGAGCTGCACTTTCCCCTGCCTCCAAGGGGGGGGTGCTAATTAGTGTCAGTGGGCAGGTGGGTATGTGGGCAGCTATTTCTGCCTCCTCTGCACTGGCCCCAGAGAGCCAGAAATGAAGACCTTTCCTGAGTCCTATGCTGCCTGAGGCACCAAGCTAGACCCAGGTGCTGTGGAACCCATGGGAGACTCCAGACCCAAGTGGAAAGGACCCTGAACAAGCACTGGATTTGAGACAAGGCTCTGAGGAGGATGAGCAGAGCTGCAGCACCCCACCATCCTTAGGAGGCAGGCTACATGGTCGCAAGAAACCACCTTCCCACATCGGGTCTCCTGTGCCTCAGGGGAGTCTGCCCTGAACCCTGAGGTCAGTTACTAACCCTATACCTGACCAGCCCTAGCTGGGTCGCACCTGATGCCAGGAGCGGTGGGGAGCAGTGCTCCTTATACAAGCCTCAGGAGCAGTGGGAACAGGACTGAAGCCTGGGTCCAGGACCACCTCAAAGCATTGTGAAGAGGCTGAACCTGGACCCACAAGAGGGCCCCCAAAAGGGAGTTTCTGTCTAGGAGCTCCAACAGGCCTCCAACAGTGGTCATAAGGCAATGCTCAGGCTGGCTACAATGGGGCCACACGTGGGCGGGGCCACACGTGGGCAGGGCCAGCCCCGTGGACACAGCATGGGGCTGCCATCACTCTGTATGGGAGAGGGGAGGACTGCTGCCTAGGGTGGTGCTGACCAGCCTGGAGCCAGCATCAGGTGCCAGGGTTGGAGGAGGCTGACCCACACAAGGGAGGTAACACACCAACAACAAGGGGCAGGGGGCAGAGTTGTGGCCATCCCGCAGGCCCTGAGAAGCTGAGTGGCTCCTCTGTACCAAGGACTTCTGAGAGCTTCCTGTCCACCCTCTGGGCTTCTACCTGACTCTGCAGTCCTGGGCAAGCTCCTGGAATGCAGAACACATACCAGGCAGCTCCAGCTCAAAAGTGTGTGCCAGAAAATGAGGTTTTGTTTTTACCAGTTTTGATGGATGCACTCATAGCAAAAAAAATTTTCCCACACATAGTTGCTTTAATTAAAAACAAAACAACAAGAGGCAAAACAATATGTGAGCATGTGAAACAAAAAAATAAATATCAAACTAGGATCTGGATATTTTCAATACCAAGTCTGAGAAAAGGAGAACAAAAAAAAAAAAAAAAAAAAAAAAAAAAAAAAAAAAAAAAAAAAAAAAAAATTTATAAAAAAA